TGCACTCCAGCCTGGGCGACAGAGCGAGACTCCATCTCAAAAAAAAAATAAAAAAAATAAAAATAAATAAATAAAAATAAAAATAAATGCAACGGGGAAAAGAGAGAAATTAAGTGACACAACCAATTATAACGTATAGACCCTTAATGAGGTCCTGATTTAAGCTAATGTGAAATATGACATATAAGACAATGGGAACATTTGAAAACTAGGTATGTGATGATGTTCAGGAATTATTAATTTGGGGGTATGATAATGGCCTTATGTCTACCTTTTTAAATAGAATCCTTCTATTTTACAGCAGGGATGGGCAAACCACAAGCCAGGGGCCAAATCCAGCCTGCTGCCTGTTTTTGCTAATAAAATTTTATTGGAACACAGCCATGGCCATTCACTTCCATATTGTCCAATGGCTGCTTTGTGCTACAACTGCAGAAATGAGTAGTTGTGGCAGAAATCACTTAGCCTTCAAAGCCTAAAATCCGACCCTTTCCAGAAAAAGTTTGCTGACCTCTGTTTTAGAGATACAAACTAACATACTTACAGATAAGTGATCTGAATAGGAAGCAAATTTTCAACATAATCTGGGTTGACAGGGAACCGTCTGGATTATATAAACAAATCCAGAGCTGATCATTGCCAGGTGAGAGGTGCGCAGACGATCATGACACTATTCTCTTTTGTATATGTTTTCCATAACAAAAAGTGTTTTTAAAAAATCAATGATTTAGGGGTTGAAATAGACTGTAGTCACTTTGGAAACAGTTTGGCAGTTCCTCAAAAGTTACACATTGAATTACCTATGATCCAGCAGTTGCCTTCCTAGATGCACCTCCAAGAGAATTAAAAACACACATTCACACAAAAACCTGCACACAAATGTTCACAGGAGCATTGCCTTAATAGCAAAAAAGCGAAACAACCCAAATGCCCATCAGGTGACGGGTGAGTAAACACAGTGCGGTCTGTCCATACACGGAATGTGACTCAGCCACAGACAGGAACGAAGCGCTGACACACGCAGCAACCCGGATCAACCGTGAGGTCACGATGTGGAATGAAAGACGCCAGCCATGAAGTCACACACCCTATGATGCCATGGACATGAAGTGTTCAGCACAAGTAAACCCTTACAGCCGGAAGGCAGAGTGGTGACTGCCAGGGACTAAGAGCAGGGGCCGGGGGTGACTGCTAATGGGTGTGGGATTTCATTTCGGGGCTGGTGGACACGTTCCAGAGTGAGAGAGTAGTGATGGCTGCACAACTCTATGAATATGCTGTGAATCACCAAACTGTACATTTTTAAAGGGCGAATTTATGGTATGTAAATTGTATCTCAATAAAGCTGCTATCTTAAAATTCAGTGCTTTAAACATTCTTCTTGTAACATGAATCGCCACACTTAAGAATGCCATTCGGAGCTGGGCATGATGGCTCATACCTCGTCATCCCAGCACTTCAGGAGGCCAAGGTGGGTGGATCGTTCGAGCTCAGGAGTTCGAGACCAGCCTGGGCAACATAGTGAAACCCCATCTCTACAAAATACACAAAAACTTAGCGGGGCATGGTGGCGTGCCTTGTAGTCCCAGCTACTCTGGGGGCCGAGGTAGGAGGATCACCTGAGCCTGGGAGGTGGAGGTTGCAGTGAGCTGTGATTGCACCACTGCACTCCTGCCGGGGTGATGGAGCAAGACCCTATCTCAAACAAAAAAGAAAGAAAGAAAGAAAGAAAAAAATGCCATTTGGTAAGTTTCTGTTTTCACAGACCACGTTTCGTTAAAGCCACATCTGGCACACCAAGCTACACGAACGTGTCCTCCTCTGTGGGGAGAGCTCACCCGTGCAGCCGTAGTTATAGATGTTGAAGGTCAGTGTGTCCATGATGTTCCTCAGGCGTTTCATGAGAATGGAATCGGGCAGCGACTTCTTCAGTGACAGCCCGAAGACCTCTAAGAAGGCAATCAGGGAGTACTGGTACATGGAGTTCACCAGGGCCATCTCAGACAGCACGAAGAACAGGATGGCCCCCCTCCTGGCTGCTGGCCGGTAGCCATCCCGCAGCCTGTCGATGTCCAAGGCTGTCTTCTCCGCCAGCTTGAGTTTCTCTGAGACCTGAAGAAAAGCACAAGTGACCCTGGAAACAGGGAGACTGAGAAGTGGGCAGAGGGCAGGAGGGGCAGGGGGACAGCAGAGAGGTACATGCAATGCTCCAGGGCTTTGAAAGCATCCAGGGACTGCAGGGGACCGAGGGCACCCACCCTCTTGTAGGAAGGGGTGAATATTTGTGGCTGATGCCCCTGCACCCAAGGCCCCTTTCTCTAGTAACACTGCTTGTAAGTCTCCAGGTACTGCCCTCTCCCTTTTCATCCCATATGGGGTTCCACCCAGACTCCAGGAGATGTGACCCAGGCCCAGCCAACCCAAGCCTAGCATCCCCAAGCTCCTGGGACTGGTTTGGGGTAGAAATGTGACTTAAGTGACTTCCAGGACCTTCATGGTAGGAACAGGAAGATTCTCACTTATCCCTTTGGGTTTAGAGCTGAGAGACATGAGGCCAGACCAGTCTTATGACCATGTAGGGAGCTGGCAGAGAATGACGCCAAGCCGGTAGAAGGCCCAGCCCAGAAATGGAGAGAAACCAAGTCCTCCTGGTATTTTTGAAGTCCTGGATCCAGCCCCACCTGAGGCCATCTCTGCACTTTTCTGCTTTCTCAGCTGATAACTTCCCTTTTGACTTAAGCCAGGCAGGGCTGGGTTTTCCATCACTCTCAATTTAAAGAGACTGACCTGATGCCTAAGGGTCCCTGGGAACACCTTTAGGGCTCCCCTCCCCACAGCACATCCCAATAGAGGTGGCTTTTTATTCCTGAGATCACAGAGCCCAGTTTTCTCATTGAGCAGACAGAGAACTGGATGCTCCAAAGGTGCACGCGGGCCCCGCCTGGCTCAGGGCCTTTTCCGCTGTGGCTGCTACCTCTGTTGCCTTGGATTTGGTCTCCTCCAGGGTGTGCACCAGGTCCACATTGTCCAGCATGTTCCCGGTGGACGTGGCCAGCTCCCGAAGGAGGGAATCTTCCAGGTCCTTGAGTAGGTTCTTGTTCTCGCTGGTCTCCTGGATGAGGTGCTCCCGCTGCTCCTCCAACTCCCGCCTCTCATAAGCCACCAGCACGCTCAGCAGCTGGTCCTCCAGGCCCTTCAGCGTGACTGTGGGGGACAGTGAGAGGCCCTCACCACCTGCAGCCCCCGACAACGGTCTCTCCCGCTGCCCTGCTGTGATGGGACAAGCTTAGCGTGGGTCTCAGACAGCAGGTCAGAGGCACGAGGATTTACTGCCCACCAATGTCACTCTACAGCAGCAAGGTGGCAGACATGAGCAAAATAGCGATGCTGTGGTGCAGAGTGGTGGACAAAAAGGAAAAAATGCACTGAAATAAAACCCAGGCTTCCACGGACTGGGGTACCAAGGTTTAAAGTATACCCAGATTGGGCACAGTGGCTCATGCCTGTAATCCCAGCACTCTGGGAGGCAGAGGCGGGAGGATCCCTCGAGCCCAGAAGTTTGAGACCAGACTGGGCAACGCAGAGAAACCCCATCTGTACGAAAAAAGAAAAGAAAGTACATCCAAATCGAATTAACCTGTTTAAGCAGGTGCATGACAACCCTAGAGAATATGAGAGATAACATTCAATTTCTATCAGAATTCAACTGAAAGGAAGAAAAAAAATTCAACATCACAACATGTATTTTAAATACACGAATACAGAGTAACTTCCTGCCCCCACAGACAGACGTCCCATCCCACCCGTGTGTGAACACGTGAGCCCACAGCCCCGTCTCAGCGTGACTCACGACAGGTAACTCATAGCCTCACACCCTCTAAGTGGTACCTAATCGGTAAGAGCTGACTAGCCCGGATGTGCCTATGAGAGAACGATCTGCGGTCACTGTGAATGAAATGACATCCCAGCCTTGATCTCAGGTTGCGGTCTCCATCATAACCATCTTAATTAGCAGTGGAGGTTCTACACATTCTTACCGGTGTAATTGATGACCATAGCTTTCCCAAACACGGATGGGGAGTATCTGGGATTGGCCAGCTTGGTGTTTAGGTACAGTCTGAAATTTGAATCATAGTCAACTTCCTTGTCTCCCAGGATAATAAACTGCCGTCCTTGGGAGACTTTTATATTTTTTTCTAAGACGTTATCAATCACAGGATCGATGTATTCATCAACATCGCGGAACAGGAAAGGGGTCCCGTACTTTATGGACATCTCTAGCTGCTTGAGGAAGTCAGGGTCGTTAAAGGAAGCGACCTGGAAGAGAGGGGAGGCAGATGCTGAAAGCCCGCATGTTTAACTGTGGCCCTGCCAAATATAAAGGGAGAATGGCTTGGAAGTGGGAAGTGGATGAGCCAGGAACTTGGAGGGGCCAGAGGTGAAAAGAAGAGAGAAACAAGGGGTATAACGCCTATACACCATGAGGTCCAGGCTCAGGGCAGGATCTTGCTCAAACAGGGTGGAGAGGAAAGGAAGGGGATTCCTCAGCCCCTCCCCCTGTAAGCTAGAACCCCTTCTCTTTAAGAGACAGGGTAGGTGTTGGAATTAGACTAGGGGTAGGCTGACAATGTCAGTGCTCCCTGGCAGGCTGAGGGAAGAGGGAGTCTAGGGAAGTTCTGCCCTCATAGTATTTGCTCCATGATAGCTCCATGTGCATTTTGGAGGCAGACTGTTCCCCTGACCCTGGAGTACAAACAGGCTCCCCCAAACAGCATGCAAATACCTGGGATCAAGGACCAGAAAAAAATAAGGAAAAGCTAAAATTGAAAATCATTAATTTGTTCATTAGTTCAGCAGAAAGCGATTGGGCTGCCCCGGCAATTCCACTCCTAGGTATCGCCCCAAGAGAACTGAAAACACATGGCCACATAGAAACGTGTGCACCAACGTTCACGGCGGCATTCTGCAAAGAGCCAAAAAGAGGGACCACCCGACTGTCCCTCGGTGAACGGATGGATGAACACGATGTGTCTGTTCGCACACCGGAATACCATTCAGCCCAAGGCAAGAATGACGCCCTGACACGCTACAGCAAGGACAGACCTTGAAAACATCAGGCTGAGTGAAAGACGCCAGACACAGAAGGCCACACAGCATCTGATGCCATTCCTAAGAAATGTCCAGAGGAGGCACATTCAGACGGAAAGCAGATAAGTGGCTGTCAGGGGCTCAGGGAGGGAGAAACGGGAGGACTGGAGGGGTGATGGCTAAAGGATATAGCATTTCTTCCAGGGATAATAAAAATGTTCTAAAATTGACTCTGGTAATTGGTATACGACTCTGTAAATATACTAAAACTCAAACGGAATTGTATGTGTTCAGTGAGGGAATGGTGTGGTATGTGAATTACATCTCAATCAAGCCATTACTCTCTCCTCCCCTGCATCCCCATCCCCCACCTCAGCTCCAAAAAACAGTGACTGAGCACCCAGACCACGAACCCCATACTGGGCAGAGGAACGCGAAGCTGAGGTTGCTCGCAGCCTGCGAGGGGAGAGGCAGAGTTCACGGTGGTTTGCGCTGCCCTGGCAGACCCACAGGGTGGAGGTGGAGGTGGGGGAGGGCTCCGCATGGGGGTCAGGGTGGAAGCGTTTCTGCCCAGACTCGTTGAGGCTAGGGACTGCCAGGGACTGCCAGGTACAGGAGGCGGGAGGGGCACTCTCCAGAGAACAGGCACCGGGAGCAGAAGACGCCCCAGGAGGAGCCGCCGTACCCGCAGATTGTTCTTCTCCTCTTTTCTCTTGATCCAGTTGAGGGCCTGCTGCTGGGGGTCGATGCAGAGAGGGAAGCGGCTGGCCCGGGTGGTGAGGATGCCATTCTGAACAGACAGCTCATCGGGGGGAAGGCCCTGGGATCCCCATCTGGAAGAAACAGCCGTCAGGAAATGAACTTTTCTCACCAATTTGTGAGCCAAGGGCTAAGGGTGGTAGGACTGGCCTTCCAGAACCATCTACCCATCCCCAGGCTGCACAAGCCACCTCAGGCTCTAGGGAGAAGGGCTCCATGCTGGGTTTGCAGCTCGCCCAGCCACTTCCATGCAGTCAAGCCAACTGTGGTCCTGGCAATGCCCCCAGGCCATTGCCTCCCCGTGGGGTGACACCCATGTAGACCCCTTGTGCTAAGATGTCCCCTTCCTCCTGCTGGCTCAGGGTGCCACACACCTGCTGATCTCAACATCATCCGTGAGCAGGCTTTCCAGCCGGAAAGGCTGGCTCAGAGGAATCTCCCGCTCCAGGATGTCGTTTTGCCAAATCCGATTGACCATCTCGTCACGGAACTCCCAGGTGAAGGCTCCCTCGTAGCTCAGGAAGGCCGCGCAGAGCAGGCAGTCCCCCAGCAACTTCACACGCCGGTGCATCAGCTCATCCAGGTCATTCAGCCACCTGGCACGGGAGGAGAGGGAGGCTGCCGTGAGCGGTTTACCTTCTGGCCACAACCAAAAGGAACATTCCAGAAGAACCAGCTTGATACCTTGCTAACAGGGCTAGCCAGACAGAAACATGTTTTGAGATATTCTTTCCTCATGGGGAACAGAGACCAACAGCTTATCTTGCAACTTCCCACCCTAGTGAACCTGGTGTTTGGAGCCAGCATCAAGCAGCGGGCTCAGTAAAGGCCTGTGGTCTTTATTAAGTACTAATCACATTGCGTGGATCACATTAAGTAGTAATCACGTTGTTTCCGAAGCCTTAATCAAAGACATATAAATCAGCCCAGCAGAGCTAACAAGTTCTGGCCTCACTCAATGACAGAATTCCACCCAAGATAAAAGAAAGCATCTGTTTCCTTTGGCCTCTTCCAGGAAATGCCCCAAGACTTAGGTTTTAGAAATACTGAAAATTGTTTACCACATGCAAACAGTGTTTTTCAGTGTTTTCTACACCACATTTACAGATGCCAGATTCAAAATTGCTGCCCTATTCGGTGAATAAGCTGTGGCCAAGCGGTTTTGCCCATAAAGATCAAACAGCCCCATCACTTAAGACTGAAGTCCAGGATTGAACAAGCCACTGGGACGCTTAGAAGGCATCCGTGCAGTGACAGCGATGGGCTTCTCCCACAGACTCTTCTAGAAAGGACCCAGGGGTTAGAGGTCACCAAGAAGTGAACACTCCCTAAACCTTGCTAAATGCTATGGATTTCTCCATCTCCACAGCTGCACTGCCTCCTTGACCCTTAGTAATTAATAAATAACACTCAGTGCCTAATAAAAACAATAGTCTATAAAATAGCCATTAGCTGCCATAAACATGGTAATAGGAAAATAAGACCTGGTCACATGGTTTTCACATAAAAACACAACGTGAGATAAAGAATCAACATGGCGAGAAACTCTGTGGGTGACGTCCATTTACAAACGACAACAGGTGGGCTCGTGAGCCGCGCTGACCTGATGTTTTCCGACCCCAGACCCGAGATGAGTTTGTCTGCAGCAATCAGCCGCCTCTCCATGATCTCGGCTTCCTCCTGCAGCTTCTGCTTTTCCAGTATGGCGGCCTCGTATTTGGCACCCAATGTTTCCAGCTCTTTCTGAATTGCTGCCAACTCATTCTGGATCCTTTCCAGTTCCCGTTTAGTGAGGTAAAAATTCCGCTCCAACCTGGCCACCTAAGTAAAGACAATTTGCAGAAAGGTGGGGAAAAGGACCATGGTGGGGCCGTGATACAATGGCCTCAAACCAGGCCACGTGTCCAAACTGCTCTAATGGTGTCTGTGCTTTTCGGAGCCACTATGTGCTATATCGAGACACGTGGCTTCTTAGTTTCTTCTTCAACTGTTTGCTGCAAAAACTCTATGTCCCATTAGAAGACACAGCACCTAAGTTATCAGATGGTTGTACTTTCATGTACTGAGATCACAGTAAGATGGCACTGTGGTTCTAAGTCAAAAACTCAGAAGAATATATCATAGACAATAACAGTATTTCTATTGGTTCTAAGTTTTCTGAATAATACAATTCCGAGCTATAGAGCAAGGTCACAATATGACTCAAAATGATCAAATCAACCTTATTCTCTTTGTATTTTGTGATCTACCTGTGACTTTGGCCCCGCTGCTCTCCACTGGGGTAGGTTTGTCCCCCAGGGGATGTTTGGTAATGTCTGGAGATATTTCTGGATGTCACAGCTTGGAGGGAGGGTGCTACTGCCATCCAGTGGGGTGAGGCCAAAGATGCTGCTAAACATCCTATAGTGCCCATGACAGACCCCCCAGGACAGACCCCCCAGGACAGACCCCCCCAGGACAGACCCTCCCAGAACAGACCCCCCCACTACTGCCAGGCAGCACTTTAGTGGTGCTGCAGCTGAGAAACTCTGCTTTGACCCTAGAGAAACAACTTTAAACATCTTTATGTCTTTTTTTTTTTTTTCATTTTTGAGACAGGGTCTCACTCTGTCACCCAGGCTGGAGTGCAGTGGTACAATCACGGCTTACTGCAGCCTCCCAAGTAGCTGGTGTGCCACCATGCTCGGCTAATTAAAAAAAAAATTTTTTTGTAGAGACAGGGTCTCACTATGTTGCCCAAGCTGATCTCAAACTCCTGGGCTAGAGTGATCCTCCCGTCTGGGCCTTCCAAAGTGCTGGATTACAGGCGTGAGCCACCGCGCCTGGTCTGAACATCTTTATACCACACTTTCACAAAAAGTTTGAAACTCTTTCAGACCTCGGTCTTGTCCACCACCCACACTGTGCCTAAGTGATAGTGGTGTTTCAGGATTACCATTTATTGGGGGGCAGGGGGAAAGTTTATGCAGTTTAAAGTCAGAACCTTGGGAGAATTTTCTCAGCAAAGGTGTGTACTGTGAATTCTGACTCTGAAGGGGTCTCTTGGCAGTGGTGTGGCAGTCTTACATTCGGGCAATACCTTCTCTCTTTTGGGCTTGATCTCTCTGAAAACATCACAGTAGCCCATTACAGCTTCGACAAATTTCAGCATCCCCAGCCCGGCTTTGCTGACAGCTTCCATTTCTTCAGTCGTGGTATTAAGAGTCTTCAAGAGGCCTAACGTGAAACACGCAATAATTTTTATGAGTGGCAAGCTTCATCTTGGGAACATACAATAGACAAAATAAGTGTAACTAGTTTCTTATTCTTCAGCGGCCCCGTGAGCAGGATGCACACAGCTCTCCTACGGCCAACAGCGTGGTGTCAAACCAGAATGGGCTCTGCATAAACCGATGTTTCCGATGTGGGCGAGGGGCATGGTTTACTGCTACCCAGGACGCGGGTGTCATGCAGGAGACCCGGGGCATAACGGAGACTCCCAACTGGGCACCCACGTGGCTAACTGGAATTCACAGGCCATTACAGGTCACCTGTGACCTTCACCCGCACCCTCACCCCAGGAGTAATTTCACTTACACGGAAGTCCATCCAATGAAGATTCAGATAGAGGGAGTGCGTTGGGTTTTTGTGGTGATTGGGGTCATTTGTGTTGAGTTTGCTTTTGTTTTTAAGGGGCTAAGAAAAAGCATTTGATAAGAGTCTAAATAAACCATCACACACAGTGTGAACTTGTATTGCATTTCGCAGAGACTAACACCATTCCACTGTCAGCGCCTGGCTGAGCACTGGGCAGGGTCAAGAACTGAGCTCAAAGGGAACTCAGTCCTGTAACCAAAGATGGAGGAGAGGCTGGCCATCGGTGATGCTGGCCTGTAACCAAAGATGGAGGAGAGGCTGGCCATCGGTGATGCTGGCCTGTAACCAAAGATGGAGGAGAGGCTGGCCATCGGTGATGCTGGCCTGTAACCAAAGATGGAGGAGAGGCTGGCCATCAGTGATGCTGGTCACCCCCGTGCCCACTCCCCAGGGACCTCCAGAAGACGATACTGACAAGAGAAAGGCGGGAAATCAAGGTCGGACCAGCTCCGGGCTTCTGCATGTGCACTGAACAGCACAGACAGAACAGCACTGGGTGAGACGCACAGAAGACAAGGCTGGGCTAGGTTCCAGTGAGAAGATCTTGTTTCCTGACAGGGAGAGCTAGGACTAGTGCTGAATGGAAGCCTCAGTGGGCACGGCTGCCACCGCCCATCCCCAGCCACTCTCCCAGGGTCATGTCACAGGGCTGCTGTTTTCCTCTGGTGACCATCAGTTGCCGGTTCCATCTGATACCATCTGACCAGAAGGGGAGGGCCTGCCCACAACAAGCCTCCTTGCCCTCCACCCCTGTCCCAGAGCCTGAGATGCCAGGCCGAGATCCACCCTGGCGATTCCCACACGTGGCGACACTCACCTTTGATGTTTTTCACTTGGCTCTGGGTAATCGAATCAAAATCGATCTCCATCAGAGACCTCAGGAAATTCGGGTCGGACATCATGCCCTTGGCGGTTTTCCAGTTGAGCTCTTTGTACCCCTTCATGATGAGGATGCATTCACAGACCGTCTGCACCTGCTTCGGGGGCTTAGCAAACGACCTGGCGAGAAACGGAGAAACCAAGGCACACGTGGGTCAGTCCAGGGATGTGGCCAGGATCTGGCCTGAAAGAGAGCTCCAGAAAAAGGAGCTCAACTAAAAGGCAGTCCCTGGAGCTGATGCTGCATGGAAACGAAAGAAGCCAGGTCCCAACACAAACCGCACTCCTGGGTGGGGGCGTCCCTAAGGGCGGGGCCGGGTCCCCCTCTCAGGTTCCAGACCAGGCGCCTGGAACTCAGCTGAATCATGATGCAGGGACAGCATTAAAATACAAACCCAGGCCATCCCCGGAGCGTCTGGATCAGTGGTTAGGGTGGAGCCTGAGCACCTATGTTTTAATTACACCCTCGGCTGATTCCTCAGACTCTAAATGGTGGTTGCTGTCATTATTGTCATTATCATCATCATCACCACTATCACTACCACCATCATCTTTCCCCATTTACTAGATGGAGAAACAGGGTCCCAGGAGCTTCCATGACTGGCTGTGCTGACACCACCTGCGAGACCTGGGGTCCCTGCATCCTGGGCTCTTTCCAGCCTATGCTGCCCCGTAATTGTTCTCTGTGGCTTTGGTAAGACTAGATCATCACTCTGCTCCTCCAGAACTCAGATGTCCACTGCCCTTGGTCCTCTGGAGAACCAGAACTGCCAACGGAGCAGGAGACAGAACAGCAGCGCTAGTGAAAAGGCCGGAGAAGGAACCGAACCCATCTCACTGGGGCATCCTGCTGCCAGGCAAGCTCAGTGAAAGCCACAGAAGTCTCCCAGACCACGCTATGGAAAGACAGAAGTGGAAGGAGAATAGCACAGAGAAGGCAAAGCAGGAAAGGAAGGAAAAGGAGAGAAGAGCAGGAGACAGAGGCCCCAGAGGACACGGAAGCAGTATGGGGGCGGCCAGGCAGGGGCCCAGGCATTTGGGCTCTGGTAGGAGGCTGGGGTGAGCCAGAGAAGAACGAGGGGAATGGAGGGACAGAGAGGGAGACACATGCACAAGGATAGAGACAGAGATAGGGAGACAGGGAGGAGACAGAGAGACAGGGAGGAGACAGGGAGACAGGGAGGAGACAGGGAGACAGGGAGGAGACAGGGAGACAGGGAGACAGGGAGGAGACAGGCTGAGCAGACAGCAACCTGGAGGCTTTCTGCAATGAGCAAATCCCCCACCCCTCCTGACCCCGGCACGCTCACACGCTCCCACGCAGGCAGCAGAGGAGAGACGGCCCCATAGTGTACGGACAAGCCAGGGCAACGGCCGGGAGGGAGGGCGCCCACACTTCAGCACAAAGCCCAGTGATGAAGGAAATGGCCCTGAGTCACCAGGGAAAGGCTCGATTATGCTGGTGTCGGCTGCTTAGGAAAGTGGCAGCAGCCTGTCCGAGTGTCTTTAAAAGGTTCCTTCAGGGTGGATGGAAACCAGGCCCCAGCCACTGCTCTGTGAACAAGCAGGTAGGGAAAGAATGGGGGAGATGTTTTCAGATTCAAGACAGAAAGAGCCCAGGCCTGAGGCGGGGTCCTGAGCCCTTGGGCAAGTTAGGAACCAGCCAGGGGTGTCAGTTTTCCCATCTGTAAAGCAGAGACACAGAACCAGACCCTTCCAGTTCCCAAATCCTCTGAGTCTATGAAAGTGAAGTTTTCTGCTGTTGTGTTACAGGCCACGCTCTGGGATCTCACTTATCGAGAACACACCACTTTCCACAATGCCGGATGACCGAGCTGTGTGAAATATTGAGGGTGCAAGTCAAGAGAAATGGAGATGTCTGTTTAATTTGATTCCTTTCTTCTATCACCAAACAAACTTGGGAATGAGAAAGGGAGAATGATATGCTACCCTCCCTAGAGGAAAATAATCATTTTAAGCCCCACTCCCCGCCTCCCAGCGCTCTACCCCTGACACAGCAGCTGTCTCTGCTCTTTCTCCAGCCGAGCTCCTTGCAGCCTCAGAGAAGCTGCCCCCTCCACCCTCCATGACCATGACTAGGTCAGGTCCCAACATCCACTGTCAGAGCAGCAAGGACCTTTCCTTCCTAACCTAATCCTACATCATTTCCCCATGCACATGGGATTCCTATAGGAAAACAGAGTGCCAGCTCCATGCAGTGAAGGCCCTGCCTCCCTGTCTCACTGCTGATCGGCCCCACTGCCTGCTCAGGGCAGGGGTGGGGTGGGGTCGGGGACAGACACCCAATGACTATTGAATGAATGAAAGGAAGAAAAGTAAAAATCAAAAGCCAGCAACAAAGGGAGCCTTTTATACTTTTATAGTTAGAGAAACATCTACTTCTAATCTTCATGACTCTTCATCTTCCTGCCTTAACATTTAATGTTTCCACAAAGAGGATTGAGTATGATAAGAAGGAAACGCTTTTTAAGGACTTAAAAGATTATAAAATTGTCAAGATGTAAGTGCTGGCTCATTGTGCTTAACATCCAAATGACCTGAGAAAAGCCAGATTTTAGTCATCTGGAAAAACTCAAATTGGATCCAAACTCACACAAAACCCCAGGGAAAAAATCCTCAATAGATAAAAGATTTAAATATAAAAAATTAAACCATAAGAATACAAAAAGAAATCATGGGGAAATTATTTTACAATCTTGCAGTGTAATCAGGTCTTTTAACTAGGACACAATATCCAAAAGCCACAAAATAGGTTGGGTGCAGTGGCTCATACCTGTAATCCCAACACTTTGGGAGGCTGAGGTGGGCGGATCACCTGAGGTCAGGAGTTCGAGACCAGCCTGGCCAACATGGTGAAAGCCCATCTCTACTAAAAATACAAAAATTAGCCGGGCATGGTGGTGGGTGTCTGTAATTCCAGCTACTTGTGAGGCTGAGGCAGGAGAATCGTATGAACCTGGAAGGTGGAGGTTGCAGTGAGCCGAGATTGCGCCACTGCACTCCAGCCTGGGTGACAGAATGAGACTCTGTCTCAAAAAATGAATTTTAAAAAAGTCACAAAATAAAATATTGCTAAAATCTGCCACATAAAAATAAACATACATGGCAAAAACAAACACACACACAAACCTCCTAAACAAAGTCAAATGGCCCATGGCAAACCAGGAAAAGATCTGCAACTCACCTTATGGATAAAAAGCTGATCTCCCCATTGTATAAAAAAGCCCCCGGAAATGGTTTTGAAACAAAAAGCAACAATAACCACGGCCCAACAGATAAGCAAACCAAGTTCACAGAAAAGGAAATACACATAACTCTTAGACACATTTTTCACATAGGAAAAAAAAAGGCCAGCCTCACTCACACTAAGAGAAATGCAAATTGAAGCTACACAAATACCACTTTTCATCTACAACATGTGAAAAATCCAAATGTGATCGCTCCCCCTGTTGGTGAGTCTAGGAAAAAGCAGGTACCGCTCACTTGGATTGTTGGTGAGGATAAATAGGTTCCATTCCCATGGCTAGGACTAGGCAACAGCTATGAACATTATAAATGCCTACACCCCGGGACCCAGCAATTCCACTTCCAGAAATGTATCCTGCAGGTGGACTCTCCCAGGTGCACAATTAACTATGCTCAGGTTTATTCTTTGCCACGCTATTTGTAAACGCAAAAGACTGGAGACACAATCAACTTATTTAACAAACTCATCAGTAAGGGCTTGTTAAATAAATTATGGCACAGCCACACAATGGAATGTGGAGGAATGTTCTAAAATATCAGGGAAGTTCATCATATATCAACACGCAAAAGATCTCCAAAATATACTGCTAAGCAGAAAAGATGCAGAAAGATACGCATAGGGTGTTACAGTTTGTATATAAAAGAAGGATAAAAGGATTTGCAGGTATATCTTGCTCTCCAAACCCTCAGAACCTGAAGTCAGGAACAGAAGAGACCCTTGTGTACCTGGTTGCCTTGGTCATGCATGAAAATCCTCGGGATGTGTATACGAGAAATGATATACCCACACTACCTGTTGCAGCGTGGGAAGGTGACCAGAGCTGATAGAGGACACAGTGGCCGTGGGCTTTTCCCAGCATACCTTTTGGATGCTGGAGCCATAATCACGGCTAATGCTTACACAGCTCTGACCATGTGCCCAGCCCAGTTCTTCACATATAGGCTTATATGATCCTCATGAAGACACTGATGCAGCTGAGACAATTCTTATTCACATTTTACAAATGAAGAAACTGGAGCACAGAGAAGTTAGATGACTTGCTAAACGTCGCACAGCAAAGAGGCAGAGCCGTGTATGAATGTGTAAAAATTATTCCTTTTGTACTTTGGCTTTCTCAGGGGTGAGCTGGGCACCTGTCTGCAATGCCTGTCTCACTGCAGGGGACACACGTCAAGCTCTCTATCTGGCCCCATGGAAGCTCCTTCCCACCCCTCCACCTTGGCTTGATGGAAGGGACTCACCCTTCCTTCTCTTCAAATAAATCCCCTTCAAAAATCCTTCCTGGTCTCTGCTCTCACGATGTTTTTATGCTGCTGACCTGGGAGTGGTGCCCTAAATCCTATTACCGGTAGCTAGATATTCCCCTGAGAGAATGTGTGTGCAGACCGTGCCTCCTACCCTCCGCTGGGTGTGCACTTCCACTGTGTCCTGGCACCTCAGCCTCAACTTTCAATGCTTAGTGCTGAAGTTTTAACACATCCATCCTTATACCTTCCTTGACACCATTCTCAACACTGAAATAATGACTTCTTGCTGACAACAGTGGCACCTCCAAGTGACCTCCCAAGAATGAACCAGGTCCCCTGTCCTGGAATGAGCTAAATTCTGTGTTCAAATTCACACATGTTTCATTAACAAGAAAACAAGGGCACGGCCTTGGATAAGGAGTGCTGCTCAGCCTTCACAGGCAGCACAGAGCCAGAGAAACAGGAAGCGCGGGGAACACGCACTACTCCCCCGGGAGCCCAGAATGGAAGCCCACTACTGACCCAGGAATGGAGCCTCTTGGCTGCGAGACCTGTGTGTGGGGCCAGGAAGACTGATCTTCCGGATGAAGAGTGAGGAAGGAGAGAACTGAGGCTCCCACGCCGGGGGGTCTGTGTGGGGCCAGGCAGCACAGGGGCAGAGGCAGTGGGCAGAGGCTGGCACCAGAACATTGTTCCCTCCTTGGGCTTTACTCACAAGACTCAACTGACCATCAGAGTCCAGGAACAGTGCCCTGGGGAGACCAAGCCTTGCGGGGAGAAAGTTTGCTGGCCCAGGCCACACCAGGTCACCCTCGCTGACAGCAGATGAGCCCTCTGGTGTGGGGGACAGGGTCGTCTTACAGATTGATTTACAAGATGTATGGGGGCCTCAATAGTGACCTACTCTCACCCTCCTTGAAAGCCTCCTTGGCCAGAAATGGATTCAGGCATCGCCAGTCTGGCCGTGGTGTGCACACATCTCTGCCGAGCTGTTTTCAGCAGGGCTCGCCCTGTGTTGAGCACTCTGCCCCTGCGAGGGCAGACACTTGCGCCCACGTGTTCCGTGAAGAGCACTGTTTTACCCCACTCCATTCTTCCCTTGGCCTGGGTTCAAGGTCGGCAGGCCCTGCTTCCTACTAGCCAGGGGAGCTGCATGCCTGGGGTGCCGCCTCATCTCCCTGGGCCTCGCTTTCCTCATCCGAAAATGAGGGCAACAACAGTTCCCACCGCGGAGAGAGCCAGGCGCGGAGGCAGCACGTGGTGTCGGCTCCTTCGTAAGCTCCTGGTCGCCACGATCATGGCGACTACTGGCCTGCAGAGGTGGAATGGAAGCCCAGAACGGCGGCCCGGGCGCGTTACCTAATCTCAGTCACGTCCGACTTGTCCAGCTTCTGCAGCTCCAGCTTCGCGGCCTCCAGGATGGGCATGACCTCCTCCAGGGTCGTCTCGGCCTCAGCCTTCTCCATGGCAATGACCTTGTTCTGCTCCTCTATCTCTATGGCCTTTTCCTCCGCCAGTTTCTTCTTCTCCTCAGCTGCAGGGTGGGGCGGGGGTGAGTATACTTGGGCTCAGAGGAGATGCACTCGCGGCCACCGGCTCTGAGCAGAGTGCAGTCCTTAAAGGTTGGCTTGAGCCCCAGTGGGGATCTAAGGAGCTTTGGCCAATGTGGCAGCCTTAGTGATCCCGGTGGGACAGAAAACCCCACCATGCATGGGGCCTCCAGCACCAGGCAGCCACCCTGACTCCGACCTTCCTCAACTGGCCCACCTGTGTCCCATCCTCTCCATCCAGGACAAATCCCGTGGCTCCTGATAGCCCCCAGCCCTGCCTCGCCGGTGTTCACTAAGGATGCCGGGGGCCCCCTTCCGCTTACTGGCTCCCTGCGATCTCCTCCTTCTGCCTCTCATCACCTCTTCCTACGCTCACTTTGGCCCAGCCAGAGCCGCCCTCTAACGAGGCTGCCCCTGTCGCCTTCTCTCTCCCTGCCTTGCCGATTTGCTTCATGACACCGATCACAATCGGGAAGTTTCACTTCACCGTTGACTGATTCACTGTCTGGGTGCCCTCACTCACTAGGATGTCAACACCTCCCCGAGGGCTGGAACCCCAAAACCTAGAGCAGGGCTTGGCTCACAGTGGTTTGAACAGTGTCACCCCACCAAAATTCGTGCCCACTGGGACCTCAGGATGTGACCTTATTTGGAAGTGGGGTCTTTGTAGATGAAATTAGTTAAGATTAGGTCATACGGGGTTAGGGTGGGCCCTAAATCCAGTGCCTGGGGTCCCTATCAGAAGGCCATGTGGAGACACACAGGGAAGAGGGGCGTGTGGCAATGGAGACAGACACTGGAGCGGTGCATTTATAAGCTAAGCTAAGGAATACCAAGGGCTATCAACAACCCTGGGAAGCTGGAAGGGGCATGAAAGAGTCTTCCCCTAGAGCCTTCAGAGGGAGCGTGGTCCCGGCACCTTGATGTCAGACTTCGGCCTTCAGAACTGTGAGAGAATACATTTCCGTTGTTGGCCGGGCGTGGTGGCTCACACCTGTAATCCCAGCACTTTGGGAGGCCGAGGCAGGTGGATCACCTAAGGTTGGGAGTTCGGGACCAGCCTGGCCAACATGGAGAAACCCCGTCTCTACTAAAAATACAAAAATTAGCTGGGCGTGGTGGCGGGCGCCTGTAGTCCCAGCTACTCAGGAGGCTGTGGCAGGAGAATCGCTTGAACCCAGGAGGCAGAGGTTGCAGTGAGCTGAGATGGCGCCACTGCACTCCAGCCTGGGCGACAGAGCGAGACTCCGTCTGAAGAAAAAAATTAATTAATTTTAAAAACTAAATGTCTGTTGTTTTCAGCCCCCAGATCACGGTGCTTTGTTACAGCAGCCCCAGGAGATGCATGCAGCAGGCCTTCTGCAAACAGAGGCTGGCTGCAGAGGCTCTGCCTCCCCCATGCTAAGGTCTCTCGGAATCCATCTCCACAGCTAACAAGCCAGCATTGGCACTTGCAGTGTGCAAAGCCGTGCACGGGCCCTGACACTGTAAAGGTCCCCAGCCCAGGCACTGCTTCTCCCTGGGGCAGCAGGGGGATGAATGCGTCAGAAAAGGGTAGCAAGATCACAATTGTGGAACCTTCAGAACAGAAGAGCAGAAGAAAGGAAGCTGTCTAAGCTGTGAGCATGCCGAGGCGGGGGTGGGGCCAGCAGGAACAGAGCACAGAGGTAACAGGGCCACCAGAGCTGGCTGAGAAGGAAGAGGGCTGGTACAGGCCTCGGGAACCTCAGGGTGGGGAGCAGCCTGCAAAGGGGTCCGGCCAAGCCAGGTGCTTGAGTCATGTTGAGGAGCAAAATGATGGACTCTTTCAGCCAGGCAGGAACACAGGCTGGAGGCTGGGGCAGGTGCTGAAGAGCCACCCTCAGGAGAAACAATTGTTTGCACCCCACCCTACCCTCTGCAGGACTTGTCAATGTATCCCATTCCTATGGCTACCATTGGTTTGGGCAAGGGCATGTGACTCAAATCTGTCCAATCACAGTCAATTCTGGGAGCTTTGTGGGAATGCGTGGGAAAGAAGAGCCCTCTCTCCCCTGGGGATGCTGAGCTAATAGGATGCCAGCCTCATGCGGGAGGCTCCCAAACTCTCAGCATGGACAGAGCCTGCTGCCTGAGATGAAGCCCAAACAGAAGACAGCAGAGCCAAGAAAGGGAAGGAAAGATTCCCACTGATACACTTCAGTCCTAGATCCAGCTGTGCCTGAAGCCAGGATGCCTCTGGAATCAATGCGTTTTCACTTTAGATTAAGCCACTTTGAGCTCGGTTTCCACCATTTGCAACCAAAATAGTCCTGATCGGGACAGGCAGCCTGGAAACAGAGATCCTAGATGAAGCTTCCTCCAAAATTCCAAGTGGGAGCAAGGTGACCTGGACAAGGATGACGGCAATGGGGAAAGAAAAGCAACCACAGGTAGAAGAGGCACTAAACATGGGTGTGGCAAACAGGTCGTCCTCAGTACAAACTGCAGCCTGGGCACTGGGGGAGGGGCTCTCTTGGTTGTGAGCTTCTTCGAGGCAGGGGTTGAGTCTCATTCAGTTTCTAGCCCCCACTCTCCCTACCATGGTGCCTGCCATGAAGCTGAAGTCAGTATCTGCTGATTGGACAGATGAATACGTGGAATAACAGCTTCCTTCAAGACACTTCCAGTCTAGTTTTACATCTAAGGGGCCAGGAATGTACAGTTTTTTACATCTAGGGGGCCAGAAATATATATTTTTTAAAAGGCAGATCAAAGCAAAGTGCAGTTATGTGGGAACGAGGCATTTGATCAAAGTTCTGGTAGAAGAAACACGGATAGGAAGAGAGACGTGGTATGGATATTCTCAGCAGACCGAAGGGAGAGGAAGAGCAAATTACTGCAGGACTCACACGGGCATGAAGAGGTGATGCTGTGAGCAGGCGACAGGGTGTCATGGGAAATTAGGTGGGCAAGATGACATAGAGGAATTGATGGGACCCTTCATGGCCACAATGAGGACTCAGCATCAAAACAGGCAGCAGGGAGTTGCCACAGATTCCTGGGAAAGGATATCTATCGATTAAGTTGCTTTGGTTGCAAGCAACAGAAGCTAACAATGGTCGAGTTAAGAAAAATGTGAAATTGTTATAAGAAGACACGGTAGCTCACGGACATGGAAGATGCTGAAACACATAAACCAGGGGCGCCTCAGGGATCTGGGCTTAGTCACTGAATGCAGTCTCTTCACAGCGCTGCCATGCAATAAATGAACTCAAATAATCTTCAGTCTTGTTGGCTGACTCAAAATGTGCAGTCCCAGATAACTTCTAATTGGTCTGCCAGGGTTAGAATAAGCCCATCCTGATGGCAGGCACTGGGAGTTGGGGAGAGGCAGTTTGCCAACACCAAGTTAGGGTGCTGTTGCCAGAGTGATGACAAATGGATCCTGTGCACAAGGCCGGGTGCAATGACAAAGGAACTGAACGGAGATGACACTTAGCAGCAACACAAACACAGACCAGCAGAAGAAGGAAGAGGCAGGCAGGTCGAGTAGCATCTGCAGGAATCTGAGAATGAGCTGGGGCGGGTACACATCAGAAACCAGTGGCCCAAAGACCTAGAGAGGAGGGTGAGAGGCCAGGCACAGAGCTGTGGGCTCCAGGAGCTGTCCTGTGCCAGGCATCACAAGAGGGTAGAGTCATCAAGAGCAGGACAGTGCAGGTGACACAGAGCCTTGGCCAGGAAGACCGAGGGAAGGAGCCCAAGAAAGAACCTTGAAACAGCTTCAAGGGGAGCCAAGCAAGTCCCGCATCGATGACGCCAAGCCTTAGGTCATTTCAACCCCACGGACTTAGTTCACCAGCCCATTGAGGGTCGGGTGACTTTTCCACTTCCTGGCACATCCTCAAGCTACCAGCGCAGGGGCCTACATATGGTAGCGTCTCAGTGCTTATGAAAAGGGATGAAACTGGCTGGACACAAATTCAGAAAGAAACAGGAATTGCAGGGTCAGGATGGCAACGCTCGGTGCCTACAAGCAGTTTCGCAGGGACATCCCGGCAGAGCCCTGTCCTGCTGGGGGATGGGCTGCCCTGGCCCCCACCCTCACTCACCTACAGTGGTGTGGGGGATGGGCTGCCCTGGCCCCGGCCCTTACCCACCTACAGCGGTGTTGACGGCGATCTCCTCCAGCAAGGCCTCGCAGGCGGCAGACTTCTCGGCCAGCACGATCTTCTGCTCGGCCAGCTTCTGGTTCAGCTCGTCCAGCTGGATGGTGGCCTCCTTCAGCTTGTCCAGTCCCCCGTCCAGACGCTTGCACTGAGCTGAGGAAAGAGGGCACCTATGTTCATTGTCGAGGTGGCCACTGTTCCCAACACAATCACTGGGATTTGCCTAACTTCAGCTTATCAAAACAAAACAAAACATTTTTACAAGATGGCACGTGTCTTTCGGTACCTCCACTGCCATACTGGGATGGCATCAGCCAAAATGAATATATATCTGAAAACAGTGCTTCCCTTGGCCAATAGCCAGAGCACTTTTTAAAACGCCCTGTCCAGCAGTGCATGCTGCTGCAGCAGACAGTATCTCCAATGTGTGCCAGGCACACCTGTGGTCCCAGCTACTCAGGAGGCTGAGGTGGGAGGAGCACGTGAGCCCAGGAGGTCGAGGCTGCAGTGAGCCATGATTGCACCACTGCCCTCCAGCCTGGGAAACAGAGACCCTATCTCTAAGATAAAAATCAAAATTGAAACATTGCTAATGTGATGAAAACGTAAAGCTTCAAAGTCTATGACTCAACACTGAGAATATAAACAAGGACATGCCAGGGTCCTACCCACATGAAAGAATTGTTCCAAGACGCAAAATTCGAGATGTGCTTCGCTTGGCCTCAATACTGAAGATGGCTGATCTTACTAAAGAAAAGATCAGCGTTCGAATCCTTACCATAAATAAGAATGACCTCTGTCAACCACCCCATCCCCCAGGCTCACCTATATTATACTGAGTTTTCTCATCCAGCAATTTTGAATAGGTGTGAATAAAATCAAGGTAGTTCTTGGGAGTGACATAGTTGCTGCGCCTCAATTTCTGTAGAAACTGTTTGCTGTAGTGACCCACGGACTGGTGAACCAAAACAACATGCTTTACCACATTTTCTATATTTTCTGCCGGGATCATTGGATTACGCCCTGAAGAGGAAGGAATAAAAAATGTATTTTTCTTTTCTCTCTTTCCTCCTTTCTTT